AGTAGGCCCTGATCCCATCACAGACATTGATAGACAGAGAAAGAGTTACTGTTCAAAGTATGTTGTCTCTGTCAACCATGAAGACGTCTTTTCAGCCAAACGCGCAGTCTATATATTCTACGTCTATGGTTATATGTAGTATATGATAGCAAATATACTGTCATCATGAGAATCGATTTTTCTCGATAATTACACATTCTAATCTTAATCTAAATGTCTCATAATATTTTTTGATATCATTTGTTTGTATGAAATCCGGTCAAAGTATGTATTTAGAACGTAAAAACAATTCTACAATACGAAAATATGGTTAGGTTATAATAGGAAACTGTAAGTAAAAAATTTATTCTCATTTCCGACACTCTAATAGGACTACATACAAATCTTAGCATAATTTAATTGCTTCTGGAGAAACACTTTTCATTTGATGTAGTAAATACGGAGAAATTTTGATCCTACTAAATGTCGGTTTACACGTGTCTATAGTCGGTATCCAGTACCTTTTTAAGTTCAATATATCATTTTACTTCAGATATGGTGATCATATGGCATTAGGAATCCCGACTAACCAAATTGACCATGTTGTGCACATCTTTAACTCGTGCCACCACAGGCTCCAATTTACATGCAAAATACAGAAAGACAATTTTCTCAATTATCTAAACACATCACAATCATAATAGAAAATAGTAAATTGCTTTGCGATTGGTACCGTAAACCAACTTATTCAGGTAGATATTTAAATTATTACTCATAGAACCCTATCAGTCATAAAAAAGGCACTATCTATTCCTTGGTTGATAGAGTTATACTTTTATCAAAACTTCAATTTTACAACAAAAACTTACGATTCATAATCAACATTTTAATTAACAACAATTATCCGATACATTTAATTTTCAACGCAATAAAAGATAGATTGAGAGTATTGTTTTTAACCAAATTAAACAAACATAATGTAGATAACACACGGAAGGATAACAATGTAGAACACCTCTATTTCGTACTTCTATATATTCAACAGAATAACAACAGCTACGACCACATTAAAATCAACAACAAAATAATAAAAGCTACCTACCGCAATTTAAACCAACTAAATTTGTTAAAACCCATAAAGATTTTGTTCCTTTAAACAAACAAAAAAATGTCGTCTATCGGATTGAATGTTTACATTGCGAGTCTTCCTATGTGGGACAAACTAAACAACAATTGTCAACTCGAATTAAAGAACATTCCAATTATGTTAATAAAAGACTAATAGATTCTTCGGTTATAGCGAAACACAGCTTTGAGATAGGTCATAGTTTTAATTGGAATTCAGTTAAAATCTTGGATACTGAGAGAAATTATTTTAAACGTCAGACTTCCGAAATGTTATTTATCAAAAAACCAGCAGCATGGATTGAATTTGATGAGAGACACCGAATCTTTACATACATACCTATTCTAGATAAAATACAATAGTAATGGTAGGGGGAGATATGTCTCGCGTCGAATCCAAGCTATTCCTTGTAGACTGAGTATCTAACTTGCGTTCATATAAGCATGACATACTAAGATACTCGATTGTTAGATCAATAGTGATAATAATGAGTGATATGATCTTAATTTCAATATTATATTTTATTTTAACTTATAACACAAGTTTTATAATTGTGACAACTTAGAGCGTAAATAATTTGTAATGTACAGACGGCGTCATTAATTCGAAAAATAGTCGCGGGGATCGGAGGGCAAGCGGGTCCACACGTAGTTGTGGACACCCACAGATATCTATTAGTATAGACATCTGTGTGGACACCCGATTGCTACTAGTTAGTTAGTACGGCGCCCGTTGGCGCTACGAGCAACCGCTCCGCTTGCTCTCCGATCCCCGCGCCGATTCTTCGAATTAATGACGCCGTCTGTACCATGGTATGTAATTATATTATTTCAAATGCGTTAATTCATAATCTTTCACAATTAACACTTGTATTAATATTGTCAACAAAAACAATTGATAAGGACTAAAATTATAGTTCAAACGTCTTGACACAACTTAAAATACATTTATTTCCTGCACAACATCCTGCACGGGCTCTACATAGCCGTTTATTTTAAATTTAACATTGGAATTTCCAAAGAGAGCCAGAGGTAACACCTCAATATTTCACTGTAATTACTTATTTTCTTCGAAACTTAATGTTAATGGTGAGACCGTATCAAGAGATGATGTTGTGAGAGACTATAAGAAATTCTTCACGCTTCCATTTGTCCCTGAGATTACCGACAATAGATCTTGTAAAAAAATGAATTTTAAGTGTTTTTGCTAATGTTCTAACGCTCCAAACAGTTTTACTAAAGTTCATAAGTTAGAACGTGGCTGAAACAATAATGTAATTTATAAAATCAATTGCTCTTCTTGTGACGCTTTTTATGTGGGTCAAACAGGAAGACAATTACAAGACTATCAGAACATCAGTGCAATTTTTATTAGAATTACGAACGACAATCAGTTGCAAATACACCTCAACGATTTGGATCTTCTAATGGGATAACGTCAAAATTTTTGTGCCAAAAAAGGCATTGAACAGCAAATCTTAGAGATGTTACATATAAAAATGCAGAAAGCAAGTGTTAATTCTATGAAAAACACTGAGCTCCTTGATTCAATTTACATCCTTTTACTAGAGAAACTGAATTAGTCACGTGTTGCTAATCACACGTTGTTTCTTTTTCTTTTTTTCAGGTTCTTAACATTGTTTTTCGGTCTTTATACTTTGACACTCCTCACATGTATTTCGCTTGACATGTAAGACAGTCATGTTCGGTCCCGTTTCTCTTTGTGTTAGCAATTATTGAGACTAGTGATTCTAAAAATAAGTGTTTCTTTTCACTTTTTACATTTTTTATACTTTTTATTTTTTGATTTGACTTTAAAAATCTCTCTCTCTTTTAATTATTATTTCGCGTTTTGACTACAATAAAAAAAATCATTTCACGTTTTTGGAATATTTAACAGTTGCAGAAAAAATTGAAATAACTTTTTTTATAGTAAATCAAGACGAAACATTGAAAAAACTGTTAATTTATTACGCTTTGTGATATCCCGAAAGAAGATATCTATCACGTCGTATATTTTATCGTATAGTACGACTTTTTATGCTGTAAATATTTCTCTTAATATCTTGAAAAACAGAAGATCTATAAAACAATGTTTCAAACAAAAGTTATGCGTTGTTTCATGTAGATTAAGATTCCAAAATAAAAAGTGTAGGTTTACAATATAAAAAAAAGTTGATCTTGAAATGACCTTGAAAATGCTCACGTATTAAAAAACGAATAGTGCTATTTGAATCCTCATTCAAAAAAAGTGTGTCGGTTTTTAAAACAAAAAATCAATTGTCTCCAATATTTTTCGCTAAGTCAACTTAAATGGGATACTCTGTATAATGTTCTCAGAAATAATAAGAAAGGAAAACCACTCGTATTCCATTTCGTTACTTTACATGTTATTACTAAAACTAAGTACCATGTTTTTCAAACAATTTTTACTGATAAGTTTTTAATAAATAATAAACAACGGCTAAAACCTTTAAATTGTGACTCAGAGACATGTCTTTGATAACATATGTCAAGGTCAAGGTCATCGGTCATCCTCTTCTATACTGAACCCGAATATGAAAATGAAAATTATAGACAAGATCATTTTCAAAGTTAAAATTCAAAAACGCTTAAAAAGTATTACTTTTTAATATTATTTTGATAAGTATTTATGTAACAAAAAATGTTTCAAATAAAAGTTGTAGTTCTTAAAAAAATACATTATTTATAAATGAGACAAAAATTTTTACATCAATTATATTTTATACATTTTTTGCATAGAATCACTACTTTTGGAAAAAAATAAAATAATAGGAAAGACTTCTTTGTAAAGGTGCACATTAGCTACTCCCTTTTTTATTTTTGTGAAATTATCTTTATGTATTTTTAGTCGCTGAAAAAGAATGTGAAATAATTTTTTGTGGGTCGGACATATTCAAATCGTCATCTTGAAAAAACACGTTAAAAAAAGCGTTTTTCATGATTATCCTATATATATATATATATATATATATAATATAGTTTTTTTATATGTTTAAATAATAAACTTCTTTTCCTGTGCTCCATCGGATAATCGTAAAAAACGCTTTTTTATATGTTTTCTCAAGATAAAAATACCGTAAATTTTTTAACTTAAACAAAAATTTTTTATGTTTGTGGTGTAAGTATATAGGTAGGGGAGGCTGCGTTTCCTCGCAAGGGAGGCTTTGCCCTCCTGCACTCTTCCCCCGGATAATCGTAAAAAAAAAGTTTTTTAACATGTTTTTCAAGATGGCGGCTTGAATATGTTCGACTGACAAAAAGTCAGTTGCACAAGTTGCACAAAAATCAAAGAGGGCGTAGCTAATGTGCAACTTTACAGGAGAGTCTACTATTATCTTCCTTTTTTAAGAAGTAGTGGTTCTATGCAAAAAATGTATAAAATATAATTGATATATTTTTTTAAAAGCTACAACTTTTATTTGAAACATTTTTTTACATAAATATTTATCAAAATAATGTTAAAAAAGTGACAATTTTTTAGTTTTTTTGAATTTTGACTTTGAAAATGACCTTGTCATAATTAATTTTTATTATTATATTTGTAATCAGTGTACCAAAATACAGTAATATACCAATCAGCAGCAAAATCAGAGAATTCTGCTTTTCGGAACTCCACCCGTTAGTATTTAGTTATTATTTCACTTTCTTGAGCATTAACCGCGTTCACTTTAGTAACGTTTGACTTAATTGATCATTAATCGCTTAAAACTTGAAATTTACTATAACTTCGCTTTTTTGTGTCAGAAATTGTATCTTTTGTCTTAGAATGTCTTAAATAATCTGTCAATAATAAAATATCTTTTAATGGGTTTGCAAAATATTTCTTATTTGTTTTAGATATGCATACTATTTATTAAATCATTCTGTTGCAGTGTAGTCAAGTTCAGTGCTTCGTTGATGCACCTCGCAAGAGCAACGAGTCGCAATGTCCAATGTTGCAGAGAGTGGAGAAGCCGATAGTATCGACATCTAAAAAAATGACGACGACATTTATACGCAACAGTACGTGCAGCGTGACTAACTCACCGCAGCAAAAGAAGTTGAGATTACTTGTCAAAGAACGAAAAGCTAGCACGACTTTAGGTATTATTATGGGTGTTTTTGTTTGTTGCTGGCTGCCGTTCTTTATACTTGCTTTGGTTAGGCCGTTTATCCATAATTATTCGTATTACATACCAGAATTCCTATCGGATCTGTTCCTCTGGCTCGGTTACTGCAACAGCTTGTTGAATCCGATTATATATGCAATTCTTAATAAAGACTTTCGGAGACCGTTTCGTGAGATACTTTTTTGTCGTTGTGGTAATCTCAACCACGTGATGCGAGAGGAATTTTATCAGAGCCAATACGGTGACCCAAGTCATAACTATCAGATCAAAGACAATATTTGCAGTAGCGGCGTTATCGGCGGTATTGGCAATATTGCGAAAAGCTCTGAGGACGCGGAGCAATTCGGCGACATTAATGAGGGTATCATCGATTCAGTTGACATGGCCGGTGTGCGCAACGAGAGCTTTCTGTGATTCAGAAAACATTCTTTGATTGTTGAGGAGCATGATATCCGACAAAGATTGCCATCGTGCTGTACTGAACCGTTGCATATTACTGACTTGCTCGCCAATGCATCCAACGAGATCCTTTTGTGAAGTTGGATACGCAATTTCCAAGAAGACGAAGGTATTTGTATCCTAGAGCTACATGTTGAATCAGTTTCCCACACGTAACTATCTCGTGGGAGATCCTTTTATATGATTCGATAAACAGAATTGGATCTGTTTGTCTGTCTGTGATCTTACCATTGATAAGGAATTAGACAAAAGAGATAGCAACTATCTACTTAGTTGCTTGCAATCATTTCGACGCTCACATAAAGATGATTGATTGATACAGTTAAGGAACAATTTTTAATCGTAAAAAAGCTTGCGATCTTATTATTGAAAGATTTATTTACTAAAGATAACTGAAGAGCTTATTTTCAAACTGTAATAAGTTCAAATGTTGAAAACTTGAGATTGTGTAATAGAACTATATTATATAAAAAGCTCATTTAAATTTGTATAAAGATATTTAATGGTATAAGTAATAATATTATAATAATAGTTTATATATAAAACAAAAATTTGTGTGAATTATGTGAAAGTAAGTTCTGTAAAGAGTATACGAGTAATATTTATTGTTTGTACATAAGGTAAGACGTATAAATTCACTAATAGTGGATAGTTAAAAAAAAGCGAAGGAAAACTTGCATCACTTTTACACGCACATGATATACTCACGAATGATTTATAATTTGTAACAATGTAAAATAAGCACAAATTTATCATATATTACGATGTAAGTGTTCACTCTTTAGTGTGTACTTTCATTTTTAAACATGTTTTCATACTGTAAAATTTGACGATTTATAGATCATCTTAATTGAGTTTATTGTAATATACAATGCAAATATTCCTCAAATACATACTTAAATCACGACAATGACTTAGAATACAGTAAACTATGTGATGCGTGTACAGTTATCTAATCATTAAAATTCATTAGTTTCATATTAACAAGAACAAAGTGTTAATCTTTAAAAGATATAATCACTTAATAAAATCCAACGTTAGCAATTTGTGATTCGTATAAAACTAACACTAGTTCATGTAGAAATTTGTAAACGGGTCAATATTGGGACAATTCCAATGTATTGCTAGTTTTGTTCCTAATATTACGCCAACAAAATTTTGGTACCGAAATGTAACACAATTCTATACATAAGAATGCCAATACTGGTATATAGTAAAACGACAAAAAGCAGTATTGACATAGGATTGTTTGTTTAGTATTTGTAGAGATCTCTGCTGATACAATTAATATTATTTAACTTATTTATCCAATTGTAAATATACTGAGTATTTCTACACTTACAACTAAATGTAATTTAAATGATGTATTTTTCACATTATTTTAAGATAAAACATCTAATATTAAAACGTCAAAGCTATAAAAGTTTTTGAGTTATAAATTTTTTGAGGTTAAAGGTGATCTATTAAGTAGCCCATTATGCGTGACGCACACACATACAATGCTTTTAGTTTTTAATATACTACTTGATATTTGAATATTTGCACAAGTTATTTCATTAGACTTTCTTATTAAATCATATATAGATAAATATATATAATTAATACAGTATATATGTAAAATATTATAACAGTTTTGTAAAACTATATGCTTCGCGCCCGCCGCATGCAAATGAAAAGATAAGGAAAAGGCAATAACGAGTCACACCTGATGTTCGGGTAAAATTCTTCTTTAATCCGAGGATTTAAAAAAAGATACAAACGTTTTGATTCACTATGGAATCTTCTTCAGTGTTTCTACATTAAAAAGTTACAAAACATGTATGATCTATACGCGACGATAAAGAAGAATATGGATAGAGAAAAGATTCGCTACAAACATACTCAGTTTAAGGAAAAATGAGAGAGAGGGAAGTGGCAACTAAGTAATCGTCAGTATTGCGCAAGATGATGCGAAACGTCCTCCCGCTTTGAACATCAGATGTAACTCGTTATTGTCTTCTCCCTATCTTTTTATTTGAGTTTTATAAAATTCTTGCAGAACATTAAATATAACAAATAACGATTTGTCAAAGTTATCATATAAAACTAGCATATACTACTGACTTTATGCTATTGATAGTATGTACTATTTTCATAGGGTAAATGGGGGTATTGTGATCATACGGAAAAGATAGCCATAGACTATAATTTCACCAATAATTGTTTAATAGTGCATTTTTGTAACCATTCTTAAAGATAATCAGTAGTTTATGTGCGTACACTATTTAAAATAACAATATTGTGAAAATTATATAATGTTTTTACTTTTGATTGCCTGCAAAGTTTTACGTATGTCCACTAAAAGCTGCTGTGAAGTCGAATAAATTAACAATTAAACTGCCGTAATCAATATTACATGCATGATAAAGGCACATAAATTATAATGTAACCAATAATTTGTGTATTTTCATTTTCATTATTTATTTATAAATACTATGTTATCTTTTCCTTACACTTCGAGAAAGATGGCCCATTTTTTACAAAAGTTACATATAATTATATATATATTTTTTATGATTAGTATAATCTACAATGTATTTAATCATCGAAATAAAAATGTTTTCTTTGCTAATTGTTTTTATAGTTCACACATAAAGTTGCGTTTCATAATTAAAAAAATACTGTGCATAAAAACATTAACAACAATATGTAATAATCTTTTACGTACAATAAATATATTGTATTTAACATATAATTACTAACATATAATTACTAAATATATAATTAAATTACATAATTATAAGTTTTAGTTATATCTTTTACAAAAAAACATGTATGGCCATCTTTCCCTTAAAAGTCGGGTAAGATGGCCAATGCATTTTAATATTTTATATAATATTAAATTTCTGTTAAGTGTTTTCTCTTTAATTTCGATAGTTATTATTACTTTAAGCTTCAGTGAAGTAAAATAAAAAAAACAATATTAAAAAATAACAAAAATAAAAGTCTGTTTTTTGCATTTAAAGAAAACTGTGGCCATCTTACCCGGGTTTACCCTATATCTTTGACATTTAGTTAATATTTAATTTAAAAGAAGTAATTAGATCAGTAAGAGTCAAATGCTGAATATACGTACAAAATATATTTTTGTAATGTATAAATACATATATTTGAATTGAATTCAATTCAAAAGTCTATCGGATACTTAGTTTGCATCTTATACACAAAAACAATCTATTTTATCTTCTTTGAAAGTTAATAATCTATTGTAAAAAATAAAAATATGTTGATATTATTTTGCTATTATTCTTCTCAAATAGTTGAATATTAAAAGTCTTGTATGATCTGTACACATTTTAAATATTTGTTAAATTATTCAATTTGATTGTTACTATATTTAATTCTAAAAAGATTTGTAAAAATATAATGTTGTTATAATAAATATATTATTATTATTATATTTATTGTTTTTATAAATATAATAGTATGTATGTTTTTTATAAATATGATATAATAAGAAAAGTCTAATAAACTAACTTATACAATTATTCAAATATTGTATCAAAAACGGGTAAATGTATCAAAGATAATATCAAAATATTATCAAGAAATGTTATGTCCTGGCTCATAAAATACGACTGGGCTTTAGTGGAACATAACAGTAGATAGTCGGTTTTTATATGATTGCCACAGAAAACATAGAAGTTCCGTGTACGAATCAAGCGAGCTTATTTTTATGTTCACATAAAAACGGGTCAACGGCATGTGCCGATTTTACTTCGCCTTGCAATCTCTCGCTCGTTGATCCTTTTTTAAGTCTGGAACGTTAGTCCTAATTACTAAGGACGGGACCATGTAATCGTTCAAAGATGTCAGAATGTGATCAAGGTTTTTCGAGAAAAAATAAAGGCATTTGTTTAAATTTTATAAACTACTGAGAGTATATTTTAACTACAAGTGTCAGAGTTTAATGTAAAGTTTGTCAAAAGTGTGAAATGCATTTTGGGTACAGTTCTGAAAACCTGAAACACTCGATGTTTCTGTCAATTGGTATACTACTGTATTTTGGTGCGCTGATTACGAATATAATAATAAAAATTAATTATGACAAGGTCATTTTCAAAGTCAAAACTCAAAAACACTCAAAAATTATCGCTTTTTTAACATTATTGTGATAAATATTTATAGCACAAAAGTGTTTCAAATAATAGTTGTAGCTCTTGAAAAAATACATTATTTATGTTCTATGCATTTTTTTAAGAACTAGTTTTCAAAAAAAATAAGATAATAGGTAAGAGAGTGACTTGTGTGTGCGCGAAAGTACGTGAAGGCGCTCATTGTCAGTCGGACGGTAAATATTTACAAAAGGTCACCATTCTCTGATTTGAATGAGCTTGACATATGTTGTCAAGGACAACTCTCTGAGTAACAATAAAAAGGTTTTAGCCGTCGCTCGTTGTTTATTAAAAAGTTAACAACAAAAATAGTTTATAAATGAACTCTTATTTTTCGATTCCATATACATTTTCTTTGTGTTGTAAGTGTTTAGGCAGAGGGGGGCTTTGCCCCTCCCCTCTGCTCCCCCCTTTGTGTTTTGCGTGTATTAGCTTATGTTTATATTGAAATATTTTTTATTATTGGTTTTTATTATTGTTTATTTGAAATATTTTTTTTTCTGAATCCACTATTCCACAATAATAAATTATGTCTAAAACATACAGGTTTGGACAACGATGCTTCATTAATGAAACTTCTTTTGGCACTTTTAACATGAAGCAAATGTAATCGGAAGTCGTATTTGTTAATTAAATTCTTCATTTTTTCTTGACGGAAAGAGTAGGGGGGAGGGGCGAAGCCTCTCCCCCTGCAGAGGAGCGTAGTCCCCCTGCCTAAACACTTACAACACAAAGAAACTGTACATGGAATCGAAAAATAAGAGTTCATTTATAAAACTTTTTTTGTTATTAACTTTTTAATAAACAACGAGCAACGGCTAAAACCTTTTGATTGTTACTCAGGGAGGTGTCCTTGACAACATATGTCAAGCTCATTCAAATCAGAGGGTGGTGACCTTTTGTAAATATTTACCGTTCGACTGAGCGCCTTCCTCGCCATACTTTCACGCACACACAAGTCACTCTCTTACCTATTATCTTATTTTTTTTGAAAACTAGTGGTTCTATGCAAAAAATGCATAGAACATAAATGATGTATTTTTTCAAGAGCTACAACTATTATTTGAAACACTTTTGTGCTATAAATATTTATCACAATAATGTTAAAAAAGCGATAATTTTTGAGTGTTTTTGAGTTTTGACCTTGAAAATGACTTTGTCGATGATTTTCACTATCATATTCGTAATCAACGCACCAAAATACAGTAGTATATCAATCGACAGAAAAATCAGGTGTTTCGGATTTTCTGAACTTTATCCTGCATTTTAACAAACAAATGATGAAAACTGAAATGAAGAAGTGTAAGCAGATGTGTACATGAGCAGGATGTGTAAGAGTCGCGAAGTTTACAAAAATTCAATGGATTATCATTCGGAAGCAAAACAAAAGGAAATGTATCTGAACTTCTGATAGAGGTACAAGTAAGCAAATACTAGATACCGACAATAGAAACCTGTAAACCGTTTTAGAAATCTAAATTTCTCTGTATTCACTGCACTAAATACAAAGTGCTTCTAGAAACAAATAAATATAAAAAACTATATAGTATTTTCGAAAATGGATGTATAATACTCTTTTGAACTCTTTTTTTCATTCATAATGATAGCATCCCGAGAAAAAATAGAAACATATGATCATATAAGATTATATATAAGTGATCAGATCGCGCCAAATTTCGGATCTAATTTTATATATGATTATATACAATTTTCTATACTTTTGTATGATCACATAAGATTAGATCGCGCCAAACTTCGGATTTGATTTCACACAATCACATGAAATCATATCCAACTTGTATAAAATCTTATATAATCATATAAAATTATACAGGGTGTCCCATAATGACCGATATAAAAGAATATTATGAGATACTCAGATCATGATTAGAATGTGTAATTAACGAGAAAAAGCAATTCTCGTAATGACAGTATAGATTATCATATCTCGAGAAAAAATGGAAAACGTGTGATCATGTGGGATTATACATGAGTCGGGTATATACAGGGTGTCCCATAATGACCGTTTCACCGCTCGTAGGCAAAAAGAAGGGATTATTCTAAAACAAAAAGTCATATACCACTTTAGAAGATTCGCAATAATTAACGAGATATGAATTAATAAAGATCCGCTAATCAGCGTGCATCCAGCGTAAGGACAGTCCAGTCTGTCGCGCCGTAACGACAGAATGGGAGGAACTAATAGAATAACATGTGCATACATAGACAGCATATAGGCT